CCAGTAAATTCAAATGGGATTTTTAGTAATACTTAAGTTAGATGAATTAAGTTGTTCCTTTAGTTATTGACAAGTTTGCATTGCCTTTTTTCTGATCAAGAATCAAATACCAGATCTATCAGTAAGTTAATATTTATATTTAGTTACTTAGCTATACCTTGTATCCATTTCTCCTCTGATTTGATTACTTACTAATACGTTATTGATTTGGTTAATATGTGCAATTCATCTCGCTTACAGAGGGAGGAATTACACAGAGCCAGCCAAGTGGGCCTTTTGATCCAAGGTGAAACACTTGAGATCTCTTCCTTTTTTCTTTTCTTTATTCATTTTTCTGTTTATATATTCATTGTATGATTGCACTTGGAAGTGGATTGGATTTTATTTGTATTTAACTTTTCAATAACCCATTACTTCACATACATAAACTAAACACATAGGTGGTTAGGTCTCTACCTGCATGCAACTGATGTGGGGTTTAACTGGGATTTAATAATCTGAGTCCAGGAGATGATATAGTCACTCAACTGATCATAACCCTCTAAAGAAACCTACCGGAATCTACAATGTTGATTGAAGACTTTATCATTAGATGGATGTTTGTAGTTAGTGGAAATGTGCATTTTATTCTTTGCTATCACATATTGGCGAAGAGTAGACCCATGAAGTTTGGTTGTGGAAATGCAATGGGCCAATTTACGGGTTTAGCAACATGTTGCTGTTAGTTGAAGGAGTCATTTCCTTAATAATGATCTCCAGACAGGCTTCTTGTTATATTGCCACAATGATGGGCTTCTTGGTTGTCAAGAGTAGTGGGGATTGCAGTGTTTTCCTTGGCAAACTTTTCAACTTCAATTCAATTAGATTTTTTGTGACATTCAATATAAACATATTTGATAGGATTGTTAGAGAGGAAAAGGAAAAGAACAAAAATAAGAAGAAGAAGAAGAACCAGTCCTACAAGTTTTTAGCTAAACAAAATTTTAACTTTCTGATTCCAGTTTTATAGTTGTATTTTCTGTTTTAATTTTTTAATTTTCATTTTTGTGTCACCCTTTTTTTTTTTTTTTCTTCATTTTGTTTGAATGTTTCTCGTGATACCAAATGACACTCTCTTGTGGGGGTGGGTAAAAACCGGTTTTAAATAACCGAAAATTTTTTTCTTCAATTTTAAGAATCAAAACCGAACTGAAGTTTTCACAAATCGATCGATTTGATTACTAATAAATTGATTTGGTTTTAGTTTTTACTAAATAAATATTAATTATTTTTTTAATAATATATTATATTATATTTCATATTTTATTATATTTATTCAAATTTTGATTTTCAAGATACTTATTTTTGGTTTTTGGTTCGTTAAAAGTTTAATTGAAATCAAATTAAAATTTATTTACTTAATATTAAAATCAAAACAATAAAACTCAAAAATCATTGAAATTGAACCGAATTCATTTTTTTATTCGATTTCCGGTAACAACGAATTACTCATCCGAATGCCCACCCCTATTAGTAGTGTCTTGGGTTTCATTTGGCAAGCTAGTAATCAAAACACGACAATTCAATTCAACTGTTGTTGAGTGTGTCGTGTAATATCATTACAGAGCTTGTCAGAATGGAAGTTTCCAATGAAGCAAAGAAAAAAATATATGCCTATCATGGAGTCGGGACTGGACATGCACGGGGAAAGTATTGCAAGCAAAGCCAAATTGATATCCCATTATCATTGGTAATTTGACCAAGTGGCATTGCAATGATCGTTATAGGGAAATTTATTGATGGAGGTTGACATGATCTGTTCCACAAATTGATTTGTTCATTTATTTCTTTCC